AGTTTTATGTTTTGTCACATCTGGTCGGACACTTTAAACTGATTTTGAGTTCCACAGACACTGCCAGAGAGCGACTTTCCCACGATTTCATTTATGAAATAAAAGTCGTTCATTATTTATTTGTTTATTGTATGTTTCCTTCGTTGATAGGTTTTGAGATCCGTTTAGAACTTGAATTGACGGAGCATTTGTTTGTATGAAGTAAGATTAGAGAACTTCTGAATGCAACCATCGTGTGTACATTAAGTATTTCTCGCCCATCCCCTTTCTAGGTTTGAACCCGCGATCTCTCCTTCTGGAAGCCAGTGTACTAACCTCCTTTTCACTGGGGCCGGCTCAGAATGGGAATATTTGACTTCGCTCTCTTCGTTTATCTAATTTTCGTGGCCTCCAAAAACAACTCTGCTTGTGGCTCGCTGCGTCTGCCCGACGTCGCACGCCACGCGTGTCCGCCGCGACGCGTGTGCGTGGACGAGTGCGCGCGTGCCGAGGCACGCACCGTGGCCCGCTCCACGTTGGCCGGCCCTCCGCTGCGGTCGCGTGGCAGTGTTTGCTGTAGGGAGGGCGCAAACACGCGTTCGCCCATCGACAGCTGTTTACTCTTTGCCTTCGCCTTTTTCTCCCGTTTCTTTCCATTTCGTGTAATGCTTTAGCAAACTCGGATTACCGCCGCGATGTAATCCGGCCGCGAGTTTTCATTGACTTCCCTGCTGTTGGAATGAAAAAGGCGAGTCGGCGGTTTTTGTCCTGGTTGTCAATGTGCAAGCAGCTCTTGCTCTCACCCATTTAACAATGTTTTCGTTGAGGGAATAAAACTTTGGGAATTGTCTCTTTCAATACATTGTCTGATGTTTCCATGAATTCTTTAAGTTTTTTTAATAAACTCCTAATTAAGTGTTGATATTTATATGTATAACTCGACTGTTTGATCTCGGTATATAATGCGTAATTAATTAATGATTTGTCAAATTTTGAAAAACCTACGTTTCGGAAAATTCATATGGAGGGAAGCTAGTTTTTCATCTGATAATATTAACGGTTGTTATTCATGGTAGTGACTATTCTGTTAGACAATGTTACTTCTTTTGAAGAAAGAAAAGTATAAAAGTAAACTGTATGTTGTATTCCCTTTCTAATGTTACAATGTAATGTGACAAATTCTCGAAAATGTTCGTGTTGTGTTACTATCTTTTTACGACAGTTCTAGCAGATAAATTGTCTAAATGAAACGCATTTTCTAATTAAAGAAACATAACATACTTTTAAAAACAAAACAACAATACAAGCTGAAATTCGCTGAAATTTCGTTGACAAAAATTAGCAGCTATCCTTTCTCTCAATATAATATTTAGATTTTTCCACATGTATTGAATACTGGCTATCCCCCAAACAGCCTCGGTACAATGTGAAGCCTATGATAAAGTCAGTTTTAGTAAAGACAAAGGCATTGGTAGATATGTGTTGGGTACAAACGTGTGTACCCTCTTGTCATTTTTCCAACGGTTTGTTTGAAGGCGCGTTATTAATTTAACCGTCATAATATTTTCATTTGAAGATGTTTTCACTTATTCTACTTTTACACATACTACTCAGTTACCAGAAAATACTTTTTATAGGTGAGTTTTCGTTTGCATGGTTACAACTCTTTCAATATTTTTCCAATTCCAGAATATATTTTATAATGCCAAATACGCGCGAAAATTATTATTAAGTAAAATATTTATATCCACTCTACGTATTTTGCAGTGATTTAACTGAAATATCCTAAATAAAATAAAACAATATTACAATTTTTCACTCGATCTCTCTAAAAAATGATTTTAAAGGTGCAGATGTTCCCAAATCACGAATTTGCGTCACAACATAGAAACCATTCTAGCGATTATAACTCGCCTCTTTATTTATTCTTCCGATTCGCGGAAAACATTTGACACACAAAAAAAAAGGCGCATTGGAGCGCTAAGACGCGTGCGGTTCTCTGATATATTGAGCGCCTGTGGAAGGTCATTGTGGACCGAATCCATTACGTGCATTTGTGCGACGATAGGGTGAGAGGTCGCGTGTCCGATTGCGGGGTCGCGGGCGCCCAGATGCAGAGGCGGCGGTGGCGGCAGCAGCGATGTGAAATGCCGAGCGATTCACCTGTCAGATGCGCGGCTGCCGAAGAGACGCGTGCGCTGCTCGTCTGTCACTCTTTTGTGCATCTCTCGTTCCCTCCGCAGCGAGCGCGCGCGGTTTTGCTGGATGCATTGCATGCGCGCAAACGACTTCTTGCGTGCAACTCGACCTGAGAGCGAAATTTTATCTGATGGTATCGCCTTCATTCGCAGTTCTGCGGACTGCTCATCTTTGCCCGGGTTTGAATAGAATATTTTTGTTTGAAGAAGAGGAACTGATTTATAGAAGTAGCGATGTAGCATTTCTCTCTAGATCGCGTCTTGTTGGTTAGGTCAATGTAAATTATTTTAGGTCGCCATCGTTTCAGAAAACATTTTTCGTTTCGGAAGTAGAAATGTGTATATAAATAAATACAGTGTAATGAAAGTAAGAACATACGTAATGTAAGTATAGTGTAAGTAAAATTTCGTAGATTACGTATTAATGTGCGGTTGATATAAATTAACATCATTTCGAGTGCTCTTTCATATTTGTAAACAGGAACGAACTCAAAAACTGTCTCCGTAAATCTGTTTTAGTAAAATATTTTTTGGCAGAAAGCATGTCCAATATGGTAAAGGGAATATGTACTGGAAGAATGAAGTTCGTCTCTTATTTTACTCTCGGTGGTTCCTTTCTCGTAAAACGTACGGTGTCGACCTGATTAGAACATCAGTAGTATCCCCTCGCATTTAGTTGTGCTTGGCGGGTTGCCTATACTTACAATGGCCTTGAAGTCATTCAACTATTTAGAATCCTTTACGTATAGTATTATGAAATGGTTGAAATAATATATCCTTAAAAAGAAAAAAAAATACTAATAGAAAAAATTCTGCCTTAATTTTCCCAAATTATCAGTATTTTTCCATCCGAAAGGGAGTTCAAAAACGTTATGTTGTCGTATAAGTGTGCCACGAACAAGTTTTAAATTGAGAGAACATCAGCCTTTCATAAATTGCTGATAAAACTAACTCAATTTTCCTTCCGCCTAACATTGCTTTTTGCCGTCAAAAAACGTTGGCATTGACGGCCATCTACACAAGTGAAGCATATTGAGCGGAATCGACACGAAAATAAAAAAAAAACCTTTGTGTTAATACGGAAGGTATTCTACGAAACACACGCCATGAAATTTTCAAGTCCTGCAAATGTGTTTTAAAGAACGCTTTTACTTCATGGTGTCATAGTATGTGCTTAAAGAGAAATGCAGTTGAAATATGCGTGCATTTAACGAGTCGGTAGCCATCCAGTTCCAAAGAAGCAAGAAACTCATTCCTGCTAACGAATGCATAGTAAAACAATTCGTGGAAAAATATGACTTCTCATAAAACTCGGAGCTTTAGTCGCGATAATGCACTTTCGTGAGTGCGTTGTGTGAGTTAGCAGTTTAGAGGCAGACTAATGACTAGAGACCGGATTTTTATACTTTTTTTTTTTTTTTGTCTTTCTACTTACCGTTCTGAAAACGTTATGACGGCGTATCGTCGCCAATTCAATTTTCTCGATATATATTTTCACTTATTTAGTACTGTATTACGTATTTTACAATTAAAAAAATATTTTTTTTGTATTTCATCAATTTTCTTCTGTTGTAATTGTTTAAAAAATTAAAACAGTATTTTCAGAAAATCATACTTTGTTCCTGCGTAATTCAGTATTGGATGATAGAAGAAGAATTATTCATGGATATCAGGAATTTCAAAATTTAGGAATGAAAATGACCAAAGATCTTTTGAAGAAAATATTAGATACAAAATAAATAAAGGTAGAATAATTACTTTTATGTTCAATGGTATTTTGTGTAACAAAAGTATTTCAAATGAAAATAAAATATTAATTTATTTAAAAAGGAATTTATAGAATAAAATGTAGTGGCATATAGTGTAGAAACACGGAAATTAAATCGAAGTTTAAGAAATATATTTATGGCAATGGAGGTGATTTTTTTAGAAGAGCTGCACAATTAACAATAATGTACAACATATATGTAAAGATACGATAAAAATGAACAAAAAGTATACTATTTCAGAAATTAACAAGAAGTAAGCCATTAACTTGGTTTGGTCACATTAAAAAAATCCAAGATGATAGGCTATCAGACAAAGTTTTGAGTGGTGTCCAAATGGTAGGAAAAACAGAGACCACAACACACAAGGAAAAAAACTAAAATTTTTGTGAAATGTGAAAAAAATTGCAAGAGAAAGAATAGGAGGAAAGATACATATGGAAAATCAATATTAAAAAGTCCCTTCAATAGTTATCTACATTATCGGTAGGTTTATGAGTTGATGTGTTTGAAAAAATGGGTACAGGAAAATGTATTTTGTACGCAAGAACCTATATATAAAAATCACTCAGTGCTGTCGAATCGAGTTGCGCTACTTTCAGACGCGCTCGGATAATCTAAGAGCCCGCCTGCTTCTGTTATCTCAGTAGCGGGAAGTGCCCGTCAGCGATTCAGATCATTTTGACCTTTAGGTGTGAAAAGTATCACCGACGCCGTGTTTCGTGATCTTTATCCTTAATTTCTAGAAAACTTGTGTAATCGCCTATGTGTAACACTTCGATGAGAATGCTGTACGGTGATTGTTTGCTGGACGTACAATATCGTCAGTTTGTACGAGGCCTTCAAGTGGGTCTAACATAGCTGCTCATCCTGGATAGTAATAAATGAACCTCTTTATTGCTGACGGAAAAGTTTATGGTGCAAAATGTGTATCAACTTGCGCTCTCCAAATTATTTTTAAAATGTTTGTGTTATTCGTTTATGAAATTTTTGATAAATCTACATTCATATTAAATAAAGGTGTTTAATTTCCCTACGGCTTTTTTCCACCCGACAGACGATTCCCCTTTACTTGCCGACTGGACGCATATTCCAGCAGACAACAACACACTTGGGGGTTCCTCTGATCAGAGGTCAGCAGAACGCGAGGCCCTCCGCGACAACTCGTACCTGAGAGGCAAGGGACAAGCAAACATGTCCAAGGCGGGATTCTAACCCGCGACCTTTCGGACCGAAGGCCTGCGACGCTACACGCTTTTAGTCACCTCAGCCATCTAGGCCGGCAGGTATTTTATATAAAAGTGTATTTTAATATTACATATTATGCCGGTCAAGATGCCCGAGATCGATAAGGCAGTACTGCCGTCGTGATCTCGGACCAGAAGATCTCTCGGGTTCGAGTCCCGCCTCTGGTATGTCTATATACGTGTGCCGTCCTTTAATCCTTCACTACCATCTCATAATCCATTCCCCCAGGGCTAACAACCTTGGGAAATAAAAATTGGGATTCAGCTAAAATGCTAATCTTTCCCCTCCCCGGGGACTAGCACCTGCTGAATCCGGATGCGTTATCCGGGTTGGCCTATACGCGAAAAAAAATACATATTATATCCGATTTTGCATATTGATTATATATTCTCACTGTTTTCATTACATATTTACGTCCACATTTTGACGTTTCTTACTGCGTATTTGTCGGGCCTCTACCACTGACGGCGGTGTTGTTCCAGGTGTCCGAGGCGCCGGCGAGATGTTGCTGTCGGGGGTGGCGGTGCTCCTGTTGGCGCACGTGGTGCTGCCCGACGCCCACCGCGCGGAGGCTTTGGGAGGTAAGTCCGCCATCACTGGCGCTTTATCCAAACGCTTTTTTATTTTATTTTTTTATTTTTTTAAACTTTTCTTTATTTTTAATTTTACTTTTTTATTATTGTTTATTTTTTATTTTTTAAACTTTTCTTTGTTTTTATTTTACTTTTTTATTATTGTTTATTTTTTAACTTTTCTTTATAAAACAGGTTTTTCTTCTCTTTAGAAAAGCTTTGTCATTCGAGGAGGTTAATTGTTCAAAAGATTTTTTTGAGGTCGCTTTTTAACAACTTGGTCATATAGGGACCACTGTGGTTGTTTCAACTGTAGAGGGGAATGTTGGAAGAACACGTAAGGATTACACGAACACATACAAACATCCATGCTCGAGGTGGGATTTGAACTCATGACCGTTCGTGCTGAGGCAGCTAGGGCCCCTCAGCTTTAGCAACTTTTGCTATCCAAGGCGGCCGTACAATACATTGTAGCTATCGGGGAATGGTAATCCATAAGCAATGTTTTTTATTACTCGAAAGAACGTAATATATGCTGTGCTAAGATAAATGAAGCTAGGTTGAAGGATGTTTCAGTTTTTAGTTCGATTGACAGTTTTGTGCAATTATGATGTTTTGAGTCGGTATTTGAGATATCTGGATTTGATAGTGGAAATGTAGCTTTGTGTTCTAGACTGATGCTTAAAGGGGCATGGGAAAGAATAAAGATTTTGTTAGACACTGTTAGCTATTCGTGTTATGTGGTCGCTTAAATATCCATATGCTGAATTTAAGTTCCCTTCTACACAAGTTTGAATATCTGAATGATAAACCCCCTTAGATAACTGGGATATCAATTTTAAATTATTTCCTTCGTTGCAGAGATAGGTACTCTTCCTCAGAACATGCTGTAGAAAGCCTAGATGGACCTGATGGGTGCCTCGGCAACGTTCACTGGCGTTTTATCCGCACGCAGGTTTAAAGTCCTAGTCTACACAAGTTTAAGTATCTGAATGATGAAATCTGAGATAGCTCAGGGCGACATAACTTCCTTTGTAGCTGACACAGGTACCCTTTCTCAGAATTCGCTGAACGTAGCCGAGATGATCATTCAGGGTTCGCCGGCAATAAAAATAGCTTAAGGACTGGCGGAGATGGGCCTACGGGCTACGTCTGTAAGCCGAAAGGAAAAGATTCCATCCCGGCGTACTAAAAAAGGAAATTTGGAAAGGGTGAGGGGACGGAGACGGCATATCTGCGGACATCCAGAACTTTATGAAAGCGGCTATGGAAGGATCGATGAAACAACTGAAAGGTTATAACGCGGTCTAACAAAAAAAAAACATATGAGTACCAAAGTGCTAGTAATTTTGAAAAAATGTAATGTACCCGATGTTAAGAGTTTGCAGTTATTTTGAACACAATTTAAAAAGTTGAAGTTTGAAAACAATTTAAATTTTTTAACTTTATCTTTAACATCAGAGATTTTCCACAGTATAATTTAATTTCAAAGAATTAAGTACGGAGTTGAAATGATAAATTATTTCAGCATTTGTCTTCAGAGAGAATGCATATTTCCGATCCAGTTAGAGTAAATAAATAAATGTGTTCTCTGAAAAAACATGTGAATGCTGTAATAAATAAAATACGTGAGTCCATTAATATTGAGATGGGAAGATATTTTTTCTTCTATTATTCATAGATGACAAATGAGATTTAATATAGATATTTTGCATTTGAATAACATTTTGGAAAGTAAAAAAACTTACGTGAATGTTACGAAGTTCTTTCTATGCAAGAAGAAATTTCCACCCAAACATTCTTGTTCGTTTTTTAATACATACATTACCAGTAATTATTCAATGATACGATTTCAGCATAATTCTATTCGTTATGAATCAGATTTATTTTCGTTCATATTGAATAAAAATACACGGACGAACATGTGGCCAATCAACTCTATTTGAGAAGTAGGTATATGCATTATATTTATTCTTTCTGCAAACACAGTAATAAATTGACAATGCTGGAACCAGTTTTTTCTTGAATTACAATAAAAATTGAAACAACCTTTCTCGTTTAGATTTGCAGAATATGTTCAAGGTAGTACTTGGGCACTTGCTAGAAAACATTTACCTGTTCAAAAAAATAGTAGCTTGAAAGATATGATTATATAAACATCTTAGTTAATACAAAATGCTTTGTATTTTCTTTTCTTTCAGCACTTATCCTGAAACTGTCAAATCTCTCATTTTACAAAAGGTTCTTCTCAACTACCCTACTTTATCAACGCTCCAACAAATCCTCTCTTGCCTCACTTACCTCAAACTTTCTCTTTCGATTTCACACAAAGTAAAATTATGCACTCGTTTTTTATACTTTATCAAAACTTACTTCACACTTCTATCTCACATTTTAACTTTTAGAACACATTACCGCCCGACGTAGACGCATCGTGGGAGAAGGCTGACGTTACAATGATAATTGAAACAATCCTTCTCATTGACATTTTTCTCTTTTAGAAATTACTGCTATGAATTTCATGAGCAGCGTACGTAATGGTAAAAGACCATCCTATCAAAACAACACACTGAATTATGCCAATGGCAACAACAGGTTTTCTTATCTCCCTTCGCACGTTACTTTATCCTTTTTCACCATACATTGTAAGAAGACGAAGTATTGTAATCATGCACCGTATAACAGCGTTTAGTCGACAGAAAATATTCTGGGCAAAAAAAGTGGATAAATCTTGTTTCTACATGTAGTAAATTGATTCCTCTACCTTGTTGTGTTACGAGAAGTCATGTTTTGTAAGTCTTTGATACTCAAAACTTGATTGATAGCAAAACGCCTTGCTGTCCGACTGTCTGGCAATCCGTCGTCAACGCTAAAGCCGAAATCGTTCGGGCAATTTTCTCCAAAACTGATATTCCGCAATCAATCTAAACAAATATTTGATTTCTGAACGGATATTCTTATTTATGCAGGTACTTTAAATGAATAGTCAACAATATTTTCGAAATGGTCTCAAAACTGGCTCGAGTTTTTTTGGTTCTCGAATAGCGTAAAGAACGCTTAAACAATTCTGAAGATCTCATTTTCGTTAAAATCTCAAATTGCAGAACTGCAAGATTTTGATAATAGAGATTTTGATCTTCATGAAATTTGATTTATTTTTCAAAGAAAGATATTGATATAAAATCAATTACAATTTTTCGAACTGATGAGTGGTTTTTGCAAAATTTTGTGTAATTTTGCTAAAAATTTAGGCAATGATCAAACAATTATTTTTTCCAAAATCAGCTCTAAATTTTTGCTTCATATCCTCTCCTTGTATGTATGAAAGAACGATTACAAAAATTGTTAGTTTTATTTTCTGAGAACTCCATGTATTTTTTTAAATTGCAAAAAGTTGACATTGCAAACATTAACAAATTTTATTTTAGGAATTTTTGACCTAAAAAATACTAAAGGTTTTCTTCAAATTTTTTTATGTATAGAAAAAGGCATTTAAAGAGTGGATCAAGTCCTATTTTAGCTTTATTTATTTGAACTCCATGAATTTTTGACCATAGCAAAAGTTTTAAGTACAAATACTCTAGAAATTATGTGTTGTTGTTATTGCTCTATTAGTTTCACGTATACGCGTAACACTGAAGCGATCCTATATCTCGTCACTCGCGACAGACTCTGGTGGCAATGCGTTCCTTTTCGGCCACGTGTCCCCTGTTTCTGGCAGGCGGCTGTTCCGAATTCCGCGGCCGCGGCGTGCTTATAAAAACGCCCCAGCGCTCCTCGGGTTGCACACAGCGCGGTCCCCCTCTTCCATAAATCATCTTTAGCGATATTCGTATGAAAAGTTAACGCGCACATAAATCCACAAGTGTGCCCTAATAAAAGCACAACACGCGCGCACACATCCACGCCAATGCCAGAGCACTTTTCATATTTCAGTAATAACGCGCGCCGTAACTCTTTTGTCCCCACGTCGCTCGGGCGTCGACGCGACGCAGCCGCCATTGCCGTAAAGAAGAAAGACGCGACGCGAAAGTCGGGTGGAGAAGCAGGGAGACCATTTTCGAAGTTGGATCACCGTGGGAGTACAATATGAGTCAACAGGTTTGAACAGGCGAACGAGATAACGTTGATTTTTTTGCGTTAGGTTGTTCATATTCGGTCGTGAAATCGGAATGGGCCATGTGAAGAAAAGCTATCTTTCCGAACTGCAAGAAGTATCGCGAAGCAAAATGAATGACATACTTTTCTTGGTAACACATATGTTTTCTTTGGTCTATAGTTTAACTACAGGCTATTGAGTCAAGTGTGCAAGTCTCTTTGGTTATCTTTCATTTGATTGTATAATTTGATTCGTGAATTATGTGGGAAGTTCTTGCTGAATCATAATCTGACATAATCTGAATAGATGTTTCATCAAACTGCTGGTATCTTCTTTAAAGTGTTTTTTTCATTTCTTGAATTGAACTCATCATTTCAGTTCACAATCATGAAATCATGATGAAAAAAGTAACAAAGTTGATTAATAGTATATATTGCAGTCTTTCGACAGTATTGGAGTAATATCCACACAGTATATACGGGCTATGACTGCTATCTTGGTATTTCTAAAGTAATAATGGGGGTAACTGCGGGCACATCGGTTTGGCTGCGAGTTTGGCTCCACAAGTACTGGAGATAACTCTTTCAAAGGTAAACTGGATAAAAGTTCCCAAAGTTTATGTAACCTGTATAAAATGGGCAGTAATTTCTCATATGGAGGAATCAAACTAGTATCATTTCAAAAGCTTCTTTAAAAATCCAAAGCTATTCAAGCCACTAAATACTCAAGTTCCAAATACCTCTCGCGTTAATTCTGTTATTCTGTATTTCTGTAAAGCGACACATACAATATTTAAGACGTCGTTAAAATTAAAGAATCACTTATAATTTAGAACTAGAAGGGCAGTGTTTCGAAAGATGCAAATTTCACTTGAGCCGTGTAGTGTGCACAAAAAGACTATTCGCTTTCG